CTACTTAGCCAAAGAGTATCTAGCAGCAAGAGCAGAGGACTTATTTGGTCCCACTGGCATTCTCATGAGTATCCGTGATGCCACAACTGCTCACTGCCCTCGCCACTTGTGGAGCCCATGGATGACAGTGGCATCCAGTGAACTTTCAAGATAAGAATCGCTACTGGAGTTCCAATGTGCAGACGACACGTGGTGGGGCCCCTCTGGGGCAGGCACTGCATGTGGAGGTATCTGTGATGGCACCCAATGTTTCCAGAATGGAGCTGATGGCTCCATCCCACCCAGGCACAGGCGCTGTGGGGTAAATACAATGGATGGTGGCAAGCAGCATTGCAGGGCAAAGCTCCTGAAAGTGACAAGTGTGACCACAGCATGTAATGGAGGGCGAAGCCTGGGACCAAAGGGGGACCAAAGCTCTGTGCTGTGGTGACCAGCCACCAAAGCCTGGCAGTACCAGGAAAACAAGGACCCTTCCTTATTTAATTCTTATTCTACCCTTTCTCCAAAGACCTCAGGCTAGCATACACCAGGGCAAGGATAATTTAATTTAAGGTTGAGATTTGGATTGAATTTAGAGGGTGAACCTGAGGCAGATTTGGATTGAATTTAGAGGTAGAAACCTGAAGTGAAACTAACTGGGGTGGCTAAACTGACTGGAGTATGGTACCAAAATGATTCAGTGAGTTGGCAAGTTCACTCACTCTCTCTGAACTTAGTTTCCTCATTTCATTAATCTCCACCCCTCCAACAAAGCAAAGCAAAGCAAAGCAAAGCAAAGCAAAGCAAAGCAAAGCAAAGCAAAAGCACACCACACAACACCACAAAACTTTAATATTGCTCTTTAAAGCCATGGGTACATGGCTGCTCTACCCCCCACCCCCTTTTGCACAGAACCCAGTTCCATGAAAATGTTGCACAGAACCAGGGGTGTGAACGGGATGTTCCCGGTGGAGAAGATGTCCATGACTGGGTGGAGGGACTTTGTGCAAGAAGCACCCTTCCTCTCACAGGAGCTTCTTCCTCTTACAAAAGACAAGTCCCAGATCCAGGCTTAATTGCATGAAAGTATGTACAGCAATTTTTCTTTAGTGTCAGAATATTTGCAAAAAGCATTTCTAGAAAGTGTTAGAAAGGAGAGAAATACATGACTTAGGGCAAAGCAGGAAGAACAAGTTCAGTATGTGAATAAATGGGTATATGGGAGGGAAGAAAAATATTTGCTACAGTTATGGTTGATTGTTTCATGATTTTTTTAAAAGTTAAGCTCTTTTTCCCTTTGACCTGTTTTAAGAAGCTTAGTCAAACTACGTAGCTTTTCATTCTCCAATGTGAAACCAATATGGGAGTAAAGCTTGGCTAACCAATTTATGTAATCAAGGCAGAATTAAAGAAAACACCAATTAGTCTAATTGTACCAATTGTTAGAAAGTGGCATTTGCAGTATGTTGGCATATTGCAACAAAACACTTCCCCATTGGGGTAGCTCAGCAGATAGAAAATTTGCTTGCATGCTGAATTCTGCTCTGACGTACCACTAATGCAATGGAATGAAAAAGTTCTTCTGGTGAGATCCCACAGTAGGCAGGTTCATATGACACAATGAGCCAAGACAGTGTGACTTATTTGCCCCACATGATCAGGCACATTGTGGCTCTGAAGCCATCTGCCCCCGTCCCACAGATACTCCGGGAGAAACTACAGGAGCACTGAAGTTGCTTTTCCTCCCCGCCACTGCTTTACACCTAGTCTGAAGGGAGGAGGAAATGATGACAAGCCCATTGCATCAGTGGGCCAAAGCCGCCCAGCAAAAGGGCTGGACATCAGGGCAAGCCGGCAAGGTGGGACACAACTGGTTGCTGCCAGTCCTAGCAGGGGGGTTGTTCATGAGTAGCCTTTCTCTGCTGCCTTCTGAGCCACACTCAGTCAGCTCTAGGGAAGCTTACTGCGGCAGCTGCTGTTGGCCCCCACTCCACGGGAGCAAAATGGATTCTGCTCCGCCTCATCTAGATGCTCAACAGAGCACAGCTCTTCTACTGTGGCGCACTGCCTCCCCAAGCTCTGTCTGGAGATTGGAAGAACAATGCATGGTGGATACTAGCAGAGGCACTCTATGTCACCTCCCTGAGTCCAGTTGGACACTTCACAGGACATAGCATGGCAGACACCAGTGGGAAAGCTGATGACAGCTGCCCCGAATGCCACTTGGCCACTTCGTAGGCAGCTGTTATTGGTACTCACCTAGCGCTACATGGCAAGAGCCACAAGGGATTCGGTTGCTGTTGCCAAGTGGGTCATTTGTTGTGGGACTATGCCTCCTGGTGGGTTGTGTCACCAGGTTTCAGACAACACAGCAAGCCATTGTGAGGCAACTAAAGCCTACGACAAGTCATGGTTTGTCTGGCTGACTTATAATCTAAACTTAAGCCAAGCTGACAAAATGATCCCAGGCCTGTGCTTAGCTCATGAACACAAGAATGTAAGAAAAGCCGTGCTGGATCAGACCCAAGGTCCATGTAGTCCAGCACCCCGTACACATGTTGGCAAGCCAGCTGCCCACAGGATCCTGGGACTCAAGAATGCTGATTCCTAAATGGAACCTGATGCCTACAAAATGACCATATTCTAAGGTCCCAGCCCATTCCGCGGTCTTGACAATTATAACACTGCTAATTGCCATCCCATTCCTACATGGTAAAACTTGACTGTGACTTCTGGTCACCAGCTCCAATTCTGTGGGATGGCGCTAGCAGAAAAACAACTGAGCTCATGTGAAGAACAGACTCAATGGAATCCAGAAAACTGGCAGCACAGGTAGCACTCGTCTTGGGCTCACTGGCTGGGGAGCAACACCAAAGAAAGCTACAGACATGCCTCAGACTTAGCTGAACCTCAAGACCCCAATCCCTATCAGGGTCTTTTAGACCATTTCTAGTGCTTCCTAAGGTGAAGTGGACTTCCCTCCAGAGTGACCAGAACTAAAGCTGAATAACCCATGAGACTTCAAGCGTCATTGAGCCTTTGGAATGGCACCCCTTTGGTTTAGTTTCCCTGTAAACACTGATGGTGAAGAAGAGAAGGCTGGGGCTGATGGAGCCACACTGAACTATAGGACACATTTGATTATTTATTTATTATTACATTTATTTCCTGCCTCTTTTCTTTTTGCAAGGAACCCAGGACAGCATACATGTCTTCCTCTTCTCCATTTCATCCACACAACAATTTTGTGAGATAAGGCAGGATGTGAATCCATGGCTGGCCCAAACTGCAGTCTCCTGGTTCAAAGTTCTAACCACTACACTACACTACACTACAACAGCTCAGCAGTGTCAAAGGCTTTCCAAGGCCTGTGCTTTGTGAATGTGACTTTTAAGTTACAAAGTATATCCTCTGAGCTTCCTTGTTCTGTAGCAAACAAGTAGGAAGTCAGAGGTTCTGTGCTAAGTTATGGATGAGAGAAGTAGCTTCAATTACAGCATGTTCATGATTTCCAAATCTTTCCCTTTCCCTTTCCCATTAATATTGAATCAAATTTTCTCTCTGACCTTTTTCGAGCAGTCAATTTTTCCCCCCAATGCCACCAATACTCACTTTTTTTAAAAAGCCTCAGCCATCTTAACTCTCCAGCCCCTCCTTTGGCATTTTGCTTGTTTTATGCCTGAAGATGCCTGAAGATGAAATTAGTGTGTGCTAATTTCATGCAAATTGTCCAAAACATCCATGTGAAGAAGGAGGATGGACAGAGAAGCAAACCACCTCCAAAACTCTGAGGACTCCTCTTCTGTATAAACCGCCGTGCCGGTTCTTCTGAAATGCTGCCATTTCCATGCTTCAGGCCACCTCTAAGCTCTCTACAACTCCTGAAGAAAGCCCCAGAAGAAACATGGCAAGGGCAGGGCGTGGGGGTAAACATGTCCTATTTTGGATACCTTCAAAATGTAAAAACTGCTCTTGCACAAAAATCCCTATACCCAGTCATTTCAAATTTGGCAGTTTTTATGCCCTTAGAAGGAGAAATTTTACCTACAAATTTTGCCCAGTCCTATGAAGAAATTTTAAGAATGTATTGTTTGTTCCCATGAAGACCAAACCAAACCAACCAGACAGGCAGGTCACACAAATTCCCTGTATTTTGAAGGGGATGCATTTATGTTTCTCCTCCCCTAGAGGGCTACTGTGCCAAGAAATACCATCCAATTCTGCCCAAGAGCCAAAGGGTATAGCCATTTTTATGCCCCATGATAGTCAGTGGAAGGCATAAAGACCTGGATTTCTGAACCTCAGCTCTGATCCAATACCAAAGTACCACAGGTGCTTTCCAGACTGGTCAGGGCCCATTCAGTCCATTTTCCAAAGCACGCAATAAGGATCTGATTTGAATCTTGTGGTCAGTGAAAATACCTACTAAAGACTTATCTAAAATTGCTGGATGTTCGAGCACCCCCTCTACAGAGTAGAACAATCACTTAATTTTGTGGCCTTTTCAATATTGCAGCATTAGCATCTTGTTTATGTGATGCTGCTTTAACAGAGTGTAATCTGTTTTCTGACTGAATGCTGTAAATTCTTCTTTCCTTATGAAGTGCCAATCAAATTCCTGGGTATATGCACCACAGCCAGATTGCAGTGTCATGTGGGGATAGGACAAGTGACAAAAGGGCAAAGATTTATTTGCCAAAAGCACAAAAGCCTTTTCTAGAACTGCAGTCCTGGCTTCAGAGGAGAAGGCTGTCACTGAAGTACTCGCAGCACCAGGGCCAGATCGCTGAGCCTCTTTAGGTGGACACTTTGGGCCAAGGTTCTGTCAGTTTGCTCCATGGTGTGGGATCAGCTGGACAGATGGAGTACAGACATTAAGAAACAAATGGGCTTGCTTTCACATAGGTCTTACAATAGATTTTTAATATGTATTTTTATTATTTTGACACAAAAATGTCCATCAATGAACATTCACTTGAGATGATTCTTCGTATTTCTCTTATTCATTCCAAGTTCACAATTTCAGTCTTCCTGTATAAATTCCAAATGAAAGACTCTGGCCTAGTTGTGAACGTTTAGATATAGTAAGGCATACAATCTCCCAGTCATACCGCTGTATGTGCGAGAACTGAGCATATAGCATCTCAAAACAGCGTCCTCCCCTCCTATGTGAAATAATCAACAGATGAAAGTAAGGCTTTCCAAAAACGATCTCAACACTCTCATCTCCAACATTTCTACAGACAAAAGCTCTTACTTCTAGGTTACCCGCTCTGGTTCTCTGTGTGAGGGGTGGGGGATTGCTTGATGCTCTACTACTGTCTGGCTAAGCGTGTCATCTTATGCTGGCTGGGGAATACTGCGTGTTGCCGAACGTTTTCTGTCAGAATGTATATAGGACTGCACCTTGAAATGTTTAACTTTGCATGGGTAACATCCTTTTCCTGGAGACATGCATCTGCCGTGGGCTGATCCCTTCCCTCTTTCCTTTTGGTGATCAAACTCAGGGCAATCCTTTACAGTGCAATCCTTTCACTGAAACTTAACAGCTATCAGAGCAGTATGAACTCTGACTAGCCTTGTAGCAGAGTTAAGGGAGAAGGATCTGCCCATGTAAAGAGTTGAATCCACACTGGAAACTTCCCCTCTGTCCCTCCTTTTCTGACCCTCAGCTTGGCTCCTGCTGCTGGAGGGCAAGAGAGCAGGAAGGCTGCAGACTCTCTAATTGGGCCCCATGTTTCTCCGTTTTCCTCCTTACGGGGTCCTGAATTGGGTCTTGCATGTGGTCTCCCCTCGCACCAGAAAACCCTTCTGCCTCATCCAAAGCAGGCTGGTCCTCATGCGCTGCCTGAAAAATGTCACCAAATATTCCTGAAAAAAACCAAAGTCCTCCCCCTCCCCCACACCTCCTCCAAATCAGACATATCTATCCAAACAGCAAGAGATGGGTCCGGACACTACAATACCCACACACCACAGCTTGTTCTATTCATCAGGGCCAGCTGACTTTGTATAATATTCTCAGGGAGAAGGAGGAGCTGAGAAAGGTAAAAGGTAGCAGGGAATCCTACTTCAGTCAGTTTATACAAAACATTTCAAAAAATAATCATATATAAATGGAATCCTAGAAGAAAAAGACCTTTTACAAAGGTTTGTATCTCATGGAATGGATTCACCATCAGTGTGTATTACAATAGCTTCCCAAGTTTTAAAGTTGCTTCTCTCATTCTCTCTCTTTTTCATGCAAAGTCACACTGCTGTGGGATACATACACAGGCCATCTCGGAATATTGATATGCCATCATACACCAAAGTTAACTTGACTCGTTCTTGAAAGGCCTAGAGGGCATCCCTTTGGAGAACTGCTGATCTTTGGAATGTCTGTGCTGCCATTCAATTCCAACATGAGCGTAGCAATATAGGAATCCAAAGACAGAGAGTGTTGCCCAGGGCCAGCCTGTAAAAGAAGAGAGCGAGATTAGGCAGGTGCAGAGGCCTGTCACCCATAACTGCTTAGGGTTAAAGAAAGAGCTGGTCTCTAACCCTGAATCTGCACAAAATGAATCATGGGAGCAAGTCAATTACGTTTGCTTAATTTGATCCTTAGGCCAGTAATTAGTTTTCCCATCATAATGACACCAACTCATAAAACTCCACAAGTCACTGAACATCTGAAATAAAAGGAAAGCTCTACCCAAGGTTTCACCCCCTCATTAACTGCAAGCACCTCTCATACAATTCTGTTGCTGCTTAGTTACACATCCTATTCGATGTTAGAGCAATTCTTCCTGAAAATCTATTCTTAAAACATCTTATTGATTGCTGCTTCCAAAGAAGGCAAATGATTTCTCTGAGAGGAGCTGCAAGTCACTGGTAAATGTATGTTTGGCATGCAGGCTCAGACTCTGGAATTGTCAACATTACCCTGCTGATTTCTAAGGTCATCATCAAAGGCCTTTCCCAGAGTGTCCCTATTTTCAGAAGCAAGGTGTGTGATGGTCAGAGAATGGGCTTCTCTGTTGTGGTACCTTGACAGTCAAAAGCAGTACCCTATCAGGCCTGTTATCCTCTCAGCTGTAGGCCTTTTCCATTTGTTCTTTTTGATCTGGAATTTGCATCTGTATTCATACGCATGCATCCTGGTGGATCTTTTTAAAATTTTCCAGTATTTTTCATTTTTTACAATGTTGTTTTGTCAAAACAGATTTGAATACTTGTAAGTGGCTTTCCTATTAAATGCTGAAATAATTACTTTTTCCATTTAACAATAGTGTCAATAAACATATGGATGGGGTAAACCAGTTACTTGAATTTCTAAAAAGCTTTTCACACCAAAGATGCCTGGGCAGACTTAGAAGTCATGGGTTGTGGAGGAAGGCCCTCTTATGGATCAATAACTGATAAAGAAGAAGAATGCTCAGCTCTCTCAGTGCAGCAGTGTGTCCCCATGAAGTGTACAGATATGGGATAAAAATATTGGCCTGGTGATTTTTAATTTGTTCATAAATGCTATGGAGTTAAGGGTGAACCTCTGAGCTAGCCAGGTTTGTTGATGATGCAAAGCTATTCAGGCTGGTTACAAAGGAATCATGAAGCATTTGAAAAGACTCTCTTCAAGCCCGGGGAATGGGCACCAAAATAGCAACGGTAAAGTGAAACACTGTGCTGTTCAAAAAAGGGGCTGGAATGACTTTCCTATGAGGAAAGATTACAATTTTTCCAGCTGTTTAGCTTAGCAAAGCAGCAAGTAAGGGGAGACATGAGAGAGGCATGGATGCCGTCATCTTACTATATTTATTAGATTTATATCCTATCTTTTTCTTAAGAACTCAAAGCAGTTTCCATCATTATCCTCCTCCTGCTCACAATCTTATCCCTACAATAACCTTGCGAGGTAGGTTGAGGATATAAGGGGATACTATAACCCCTTCCACTCTGCTCATCTCATGGAACTGAGTGGTTTATTTGAGACAGGTAAAAAGAAGTACCCCTTCATACAGAACACATTTAAACTATGGGATTCACTTCTACAAGCTGTGCTGGCCACCAATTGGGAGAGCTTTGAGAAGAGACTGGACCAATTCATGCAGAATGAGGCTAACAAGGGCCACTCATGATGATGCCTATATATTACTCGCAGCATCAGAGGCAGTATGTCTACGAGATGTGCTCCTGATGTTGGAAAACACAGGTGGGAGGATCCAAGTGAGCTCATGACATTCTTAGGAGTTCCCCTTTGGGGCATCTGATTGGCCACTGTGGGAACAGAATGGTGAATGGGATTGGGCTTTGGTCTGATGCAGCGTTGCTCTCTTACATTCTTGTGAGTAAATAAACCAAAGAGACAAAAGCCACCAGTACAGCAGCTTGGATTAGGATGTCTGGAGCAGATCTGATAATGCCCGACAGCACCAAATCAGACCGTGGTTTGGGCCTTTAGGCCTATTTATGTAATTGAACTGATATAAGCCTGATCCGTCAGACACAGCTGCCTCACAGCCTCCATTCATTTCAGTCTCTTTTATCTTTTTCCTGAATAGAGAACTAAAAGAAAAAAGGTTAAGTACAGAGTGACATTATTATCTGATAAGGCTTCTCTTTAGTTCTGACAAAAAGCCAAGGCTTTAGAAGGAAGTTAAGCAAAGTAAAGTGTTCTTTTATTTAAAAAAGGATCTTTGGAGGAGGGATCAGAGTGAGAAGAAGTGAAAAGATGTGGGAAGCACACAGTTCTCAAAACAAGTAAAGTAACGTTCATTCCATTTAGACTTGGTACCGAGCCCATTGTTACAGACTCGCTTGCCCAGATTCACAAGGACTCAATGTTTTATGTAAGACCCAAGGCACCCTTGAAATGACTGCTGTAAACAAATGGTTCATTCATTCGTGTGATTTGATTACAGAGAAGAGTACATGATGGCACACAGGTAGCCACAGAGAAATTAATTCTTCAGCAATGCAGTTTTAGTCAGACAGTCAAATTCTCTCCTGCCAGCCCCATACTCCCATCCCTTATCTCCTTCCCATCAAATGGAAGACCAAAGGCTAGGTTCCTACCTGGATGTCTAAAACAAAAATGTCAGGTTGCACAAATAGAAAGGATGACCTAGTGAGACATTCAGAAAAAAGGTGAAAAAGGCATTGTTACAGTTTAAAACAACTGCCTTATGAGACTTAGATGTGCAATGGTAAAGCAGATGTGACCATTTCATAAAACAAATACAACTACTGCTATTAAATAAATATACATAAGATGGGGCTGCTGAAATTGTGCTGGGACCACTGGCTGTGTTGTGATTCTGGTTAATTTGACCACTTCAAATGGAACATAATGGTCAGTACTTCTTCAGTACCTGTGGATAGTCCTCTGAATGGCTTGCTTGCCTCCAGGGACCTATTATTTTGTGCCTGACTAAAAGATCTACCCTGGCTTTCATGTAGAGAAAAAAGGATGAACAGAAATATATTCATAATTAAACTACATTGACAGCCTAGGATAAATGCTAACTCATAGCAGCGCTTCACTTTGTGGGATGGTATCAAGCCAAGGAGTTTGGCTCTGGGCTAGTCTGGTTACCCAGATATGACGGGCAGCAGGAAGGGGCTGGTGGCAGTGTCACCAACAGAAGAAGACCTGTCTCAGGAGGGAAAGGAAGGAAATGACAGTCATGCAGAGTGGAGGATTTTGCTTGCCACCATCAGTGAAAGCAACACTGGCACAGATTCTACCTGTTCCTTGGGGAAAGGCTTGGCTACTTCTGTCTGTCTGTCTCTCTGTCCCTCTCTCTCAGCTGCCAGCCCAGAAATGAAAAGGTATCTCTGACAATGGATATGAAGGTGAGCCAGTCATATGCTTAAAAAGAGGAGGGTTGGGATTTATGCATCCCGACGGGTAGCAAGAAGAATGCCGTGGGAGTCATATTTAGTGTTTGCAGGAGGTGCACCCAAAAACACACAACACAAACACACAACACACACACACACAGCCATTAGCAAGGCATGTTGTTTCTCTTCCACCTTTCTATTTCTAAGTAAGCAGGACTCAATCATTCAGCAGCAATTCCAGATAGCATCCAAAATGTAGATAATTAAATCCCATTTCCTCTCCTGGAAACACATGAGTAATTTTCCTAGCTGAGAAGGCAAATCTGGGTTTAGGATTGGGTTGCATTTTCTTAGCCTGACAGCACTACATATATCTACTCAGCAGTACCTCCCATACCTACTCCTGGAAAAGTCTTTATAGGACTGCACCTGCATGTTCTACTCCAAGGTCTACAAACAAATTCCAAAGTTCACATTCAAGCACATAAAGTACAGATCCAAAGTTTAACTGTGCGCTGTGTGAAGAAGTACTTCCTTTTAACAGTCCTGAATCTCCCAACAATAGGCTTGACTGGATGACTCTGGATTTTAGTATTATGGGAGAGAGAGAAATGTTTCCCTCTCTGCTCTTTTCACAGTATGTATAATTTTAAATTCCTCTTTCTTGTCTCCCCTTACCTGCTGTTCTTCTAAACTAAGCAATCCCAATTGTTGTAGTAGAGTTGCTCCAACTCCACAATCATTTTAACTGCCCTTATTTGTTTAAAGCATGGGTCCTCAAACTACGGCCTGCGGGCTGGATTCAGCCCACCATGCCCATTGATCCGGCCCACCATAGCTCGCCACGCGGGCGCGTCCATGCACGTGGCGAGGTGCCGGCTTGCTCGCAAGGAGATCATTTTGGACTCGTTGGGAGAAAATGATCTCTGTGCACGCATGCCTCTGCCTTTCCGCGTGCACCCCCCCCCCCCCCAGCCTGGCCCACGCCCATCCCTGGCACCTTTCAACTGGCCCCCTATTCAAAAAGTTTGAGGACCCTTGGTTTAAATGATCTCAAGCAGCCAAATACCTGAGATCCTTTAACTGGAGATACTGAGAATTGACTCTATGACCTATTGCCTCTTTCAGAGCTGAAGGAAATGCTGAAGCAACTATATAGTCTTTCACAGATCAATTCTCTACCACCACCTTGGAATTCAAGTAATAAGATCACCGACAAGACTTTGCTATGCATGCATTCTGTTAACACAGCACTCTGTATATCACTGCAGATGTCTCTTTGTGAGACTAGTCACAGTGCAGTTAACCGTGGAAATGCAGGAGCCAGCCTGGCTGTGAGAGAGCCACGGCCCTCATTGGAATGCAGTGGGCAACGGGCAAGGCGCTCCGGGCATTCTAATGAGAGCGCCGAATTCTCCTGCACTGCAGCATCAACAGAGCAAATCACTACAAGTGGATTCTGCTCTGATTGTTCTAAATAGAGCTTGTCCCGTGTTGGAGGCTATTCAATCAAAGTCAGAAGGAGAAATAATACTGCGCTCCTTCGGCTGCACCCGTCTTAATGGTAGTGCTTGCTTGCCAGAGTTGCTTTGCCTGATCACCCTCATCCCCATCTCAAGGAAAAAGGGACCGTTT